AACACAACCGCCCGTCTCTATGCAGAGGCAGCCGATTTGGCGCCCCTCCTCCCCCTCCCTCTCGTCCACTCCGATCCATTTCGCGGCCCTTTCCGATTTTAATGAACAGCGTAGACCTGGCCATCCACGCCCTTTCCAAGGTCATCCGAGGCCCGAGGCTATCCGAATCCATTCCGAATCCAAGGCGATCCGCGGCTGTCCGAAGCCGACAGGGCGACGACATATGCAGCAGCAGACGAACCTACTCCATCGTGCTTTGGACAAATAATCATATATGTTCTAGAACCACGCGTGCGCTTCGCGCGTACGTAAGTTCTAGCGAGGCGCAAGCGGAGGGTTTGCGGTGAAACCATGGGGGGTGGAAACAAGTAGAGGAGAATCGCGAGTTTACTACATTTTCGCGGAAGGCGGGATGCCGTGATGGGGTGAGAACACACATAGACAACCAGAGGATTGAGGGAGCGAAATCCGAAAAAGACTTCAGGACACACAATGAGATTTGCCTCCGGTCGGCCCCTTGGGGGCTCTCCCTCCGGAGGCCTCTTGGGACCTTGGTACCATCTTGGGTCGCCTTGGTACCATCTAGTATCTTGGAGCGCTCTGGGGCCGTCTCGAACCTCGATTGGGCCGCTCTGAAGGCGTCCTGAAGCCGGCGCGGGTGGTCCTGGCTGGGAGCATCCTAGCGTAGCGCCTCCTGTGAGGGCACAGCCACTCGGCAAATAGTGCCCCACCTGGTCCAGTACCCCGTCCTAATGTGTGTATACGTATATATATATATATATATAATATATATATATATATACATCTATATATGTATATATATATATATATATATATATATATATATATATGTACATACATATGTAGGTGTGTGTATGTATATATGTACATGTATGATAGAGCGAGAAAGGCTCTTGCAGCACAACCACCTCTGTACGTATATACGTATATTTAAATAGAGAGACAAGCGCATGTGTGTATATGTACATTGTTACACATACATATGTCTCGCACTATATTCCTACATTATATACACATGTATATACACAGATGCAGTGGCTGCGTATCAATCGGCGGGGCCATCCAGAAGACCGGCAGGCATGTTTTAATGCCCCCTCCCTGGGGCATCCAGGAGGCCTCACGACGGCCGAAGACGCCCTCCCATACAGCATAGAATACCACCCAGACGCCCTAAGAGAGGCCTACGGAGCTCCAGAAACGATCCAAGAGCAGTCAAGATGGCCTCAACGTCGCCCAAGAGGCCCCGAAGACGCCCCAGGAGAAACCCCGGCGCGTCCCCACGAGGCCCTGACAGGGCCAACAAAAAAAAGTGTTTGTCTTAGCTGTGGATGGATTTGATCGTTGTCGCCTTCGATAGCTTCCGACGGCCTGAGACACCAACACGCCTCCCGGAGGCCACCAAGAGAGCGTCGAGACGGTCCCTGATGGCCCCCAGACCGCTCGAGAGGGCGCCAAGACGACCCACGAAGTCCACGATGACAGCCCAAGAGGGTCCCACGAGGGGCAACCCGAGCTGACATTTCGAGTCCTTCGCCCTCGGATGGCCCCCGAGACCACCCACAGGCCTTCAAGATGGCCCCACAGGCTCTGAAGAAACTTCCCATGGACAGCGATGAGGAGCAACATCGGGCGCGCAGAAGGGGCACGCTGAAGGCGTGCCTCCCCCCTCTGGTCAGGTCTTCTTCTTCTTCTTCGAGCAAGCCCCTGGATGTTTAGGACATGTCAAACGGAGAGTTGTATTCAAAGCAAGTCCAGGGACCTAGTTTGAATCGCCTCCAATATTTGGGCCATCGCATTAGAAGTCTTGTGGGCCATGTCGGGGTCAAGATTAGGACCATTGCATGGGGGCCTCATGGGGGCCTTTTGGGGGCACCTTGGGGGTCTTGTCGGCGATCTTGGAAGGCAATCTCGGGAGTCTGGTTGGCTCGCGCAGACGATGGAAAAGCGGATATGCCAGGACCACAACAAAAACACATCAGTAGCTTTTGCGTGGTCAGGCCCTCTTAATGGGCATGTTCTGGGGGTCCTCTTGCGCAGCGTTTGGGTGCCCCTTGGCGCCGCATTGCGGCCTCTTGGGGCCTCTTTGGGGCTTCTGAAAAGCTTGCTGGCGGTCCTGGCTGTCTTCTCGGGGTTGAGCACTCGGAGTGTCAATTCGAGCTCCTCTGCTTGAGTCCCTCCTAGGGCCCTCTTGAAGCTCTCTCGGGCTGCCTGGGGCGTCTGTTGGGCCGTCTTGGGTCTCGCTCGGGCCGTCTTAGGGTCTCATTGGCTATTTTGGGACGATCTTGGGGGCCCGCCAGGCCGTCTTGGACGCGACCAAAACAAATCAGCGAAAATGCAAAACATGTATGCGTTTCCATTCGACCTCGTGCGGCTCCTTGAGGTGCCTCTTGAGAAGCTCATTTGGGCAGCATTTCTTTGGTGTTCTGGGGGGCTCTGGGCGGTCTCATTTGGGCAGCGTCTCGGCCTATTGGGGACCTCTTGGGACCTCGTGGGCGCTTCTGAGAATCCTGCTGGCCCTCTTGGGGTTGAGCGCTCGCAGTGTCAATTCGAAATCCTCAGCTTGCGTCCCTCCTAGGGCCCTCCTCTTGAAGCTCTCTCGGGCTGCCTGGGGCGTCTGTTGGGGCGTTTTTGGGTCTCGCTTGGGCCGTCTCGGGGTCGCTCTGCGGTCCGCATTGGCTGGTTTTTGGGCGATCTTTGGGGCCCTTCCAGGCAGTGTTGGACGCGACTTAAAAAACCAAACATGCGACAAATGTACGCTTCCCCATTCGGCCTCTTGCGGCCTTCTTGAAGAACGTCTTGGGGCAGTCTGGGGGCTTGTGGGGAGGCCTGGACGGTCTTGAAGCTCTATTGAGCAGCCTTGGAGCGCTCTTGGGGCACGCTGGGGTCGTCTTGGAGGTCTCTTGGGCCTTCTGGAAGCCATCGTGGGTGCTCTTGGAGCGCTCTCAGGGCCGAAAACGGGCCCCGGGCACTGGGGGCTGAATGGGGAGAGGGTGGACCCGCTTGTCATCGTGTTGCATGGCGTCTCCCCCCACACGTCGGCACACCAGTCACACGGATGGCGCACCAGAGGCCCGTAGGGATGTAGTTTCGCGTGCGGCCCCGAGCAGGAGGAGTCGCATGACGTCACGTGCCCCTGTGTGTTGACTGTCTCCTCCCATGGATCGTACCCCACAAGGAGGTCCACGGAAAACCAAGAACCAAGGTTCGCATCCCGCCACCCCGCCCACGTCGGCACACCCCTGACCTGGATGGTGCCTCTCGGGACCTCGCGACGTATTTCTCAAGGGCCTATTGATTGAAACCCTGAGATGGATCGTGAATTGGGGGCCTCTTGAAGCCTCTGTGGGAACGCAGGGCAGAATGTAGACGCGAGACGTCTCATACGCTTCTGGGGGCCTAGGGGGAGGCCTCCTGAGAGCCTCTTGGAGCCATTCAGGGGGCATCTTGGGGTCTATTGGGAGTCTCTCGGGGAATCCAGGGAGCGTTTTCGGCGTCTCGCGGGAGCGTCATGGAGGCTTTCTGGCTTTGCGGGCATGTTGGGGGCCACAACCCCGTAAACAATGGCCAACGACCCGCCTTGCCACCCTCATAAAACCATCTTGGGACTCCCTTGGACCGTGTTGGGGCCCTCTTGGGCTGTATTCGGGGCCTCGCAATCGGTCTTGGTGCCTCCTTGGGCGCCTCTTGGACCACCTGGGAGGCTGTCAAGACTGGAAAAACGAATGATGCGTAAAGTGTTCGCTTTCCTTATACAACGGGATGGTGTTTCCCTCCTGGGGCCCTGGGGAGGGCTCATTGGAGGCCTCTTGGAGGCCTCTTGGGAGCCCCTTGGCGCGTCTCCAGACCGTCTGGGAGCGTCTCCGGTGGCGCAAGAGCGCCCCAGTCGCAATGTTGGACGGTTTGGGCCAGTTTGGGAGGCGTGTTCAGCTGTCCAGACTCCCTGGGCCCAGGCCGCCAGGGGCTCCATGCCAACTCGGGGCCGCGGTTTCCCCCCCCTCCTGGCCAACGCAGATCCACACACAACACACACATATATTATATATATATATATATATTATATATATATATTAAATATATCTATATATATATATATATATCATGTGTGCATATATGAACACATGTATAAACATGCATACGGTCCGTCTATATACATATGTATGCACATATACATACGTTTATATTCATTTATATATATATATATATATATATATATATATATATATATATATGTGTGTGTGCGTATACATGGGTATACGGATGCACACGTACAACTGCCCCCCACCTGGGACCCCCTGGCACCGCCTGCTGTCCCACCGACCCCCCCCGTAGATGAGGATGGATGACGCCGGAGAGGCCGGAATCCAGGCCAGAGTTGTGGGAAAGCTAATTAATCATCGTTTTACCCTGTCCTGACCAGAGTTGCGAGGGCTCTGACGATGATCGGCCGCACGCAAAAGCGACCCTTGGCAAGAGCGACCTTTGGTGTGGTGATTTTTGAATGGGCAGCACAAGGGGAGAGGGGCGCGGGGGGGGCAGCACCCAATCTCGCAAGCTGGTGCTGGGGGAAGGCACCCCTGCCTCGTCATCGGGACGTCCATTGCATGTGTCTTTCGTTTCCGGCTTCGTGCGTGGTTTTTTTTCGCCACGTGATCCGGGATGCTCCTCGATGGTCCTCGCCGAAAGAAAATGCACACGCCCGAACGATGCCAAGACTGCGGGCCCGCGCCGAAGGTCGTGTTCTGCCGAAGGAGCACTCTGGCGCAGGCGAGATGTCATGCCACATCCGAGATGATGACGCCGTCCGCGTGATCTCTAAACGCCCGAAGTGGGTGCAGTCAACCCGTGGAATAAAAGGTGTGCTATACGGACGCAAGGGCCTTGGACGCCTATGTCGCAGCTTTTCGAGCGGGGCGCGGCCAACGAGAGCGGCCAAGGATGGGCCGACGGGCAAGGATGCAAGGGTGCCCTTGGGAAGTTTTTTGGCAAAAGCGATGTTCTTATATAGTATAAAAAGGGAAGAGGAGGAGAGGAGCACGGCCACAGGACCTCCCGCAGCGCGGCAGCCACATCAGCGCGAGACAATTCAACCGCAGCGTGAAGACCAGGAACGAGTTAAGAACTGCACAGCTGTCGCCCCCAAACGCACGCCGCAACGCATGCGTCGACCTTGTCCGGCAGCGCCCCCCCGGTCAAGCAACATGCTGTACGTGGGGACGGGATGCCGCGGGGACAAAGATCCGTAACCTAAGCCGAGGGAGAGGAGGAAGGAAGGGGGAAGGAAGAGCAGACGAAACTGGGAGAGATGATTAGCAAACGCCCGTCGTAACGCAGCGGCGGGGGGGGAAATGCACCGAAATTGTCGTAACAGCGCGGGCCGCGCTGGAAAATAATCAGAAGACTGTCGCAGCAACGGCGGGACGCTAACAAACTAAAAATGCGCACCCGAGAACGGCGCGGATATTCTCATCCGGTGGACGCCTGGATCACGAGCCTCAGCTAGAGGGCCTCAGCGACAAAGAGACGGCCTGCATCACGAGCCTCAGCGAGAGGGCCGCAGAGAAGGAGCAGGACCACACCACGATGGAGCCAAGGAGAGCGAGCCCCCTGCGAAGATATTGCGGATGTAACACGTAGCACTCCATGAAGCAGATTGCGAGAACGAGCTCCACGAGCACGCTGATCCCGCCTGGCACCGGAGACGACGCCACCGCGGCTGCAGTGGGGGTGAAAACGATGGAGACAGCACCGGCGTGCGCACCGGGAGCTCAGGGGGCTAGGCCAGGCCCCCTTGCCGCATACGCGCCGCGGCCGCCGCGTGCGCAACGCCCTGTCGCACCAGGCGGCGGTCCCAGCGATCCGCTCCTCGACGCTGGAGGCGGTCCGCTGCATGCTGCAAGCGCCAGAGGATGTCGGCAGCCGCTGTACCTTCCTCGTGCCATGCCTTGACCTTCGCCAGCACCTTGATGTACTCCATGCTGCACTGCGATTGCGACATGGACGGCGTCGATGCCCCTGCCGATGCCGTACTAAATCTCGCAAGGTGCGCAGAGGCGTCCGCGGCATTGAGTAGAGCGTCGGCTGGGGCCGCGGCTGCCTCGGCGGCGACACCATCGCCCTGCGTAGACGAGAGTTGCTCGCCGCCCTTGCGCCCTGCTCGGGCGAAGGCGTCGTGAGCGTCGGGAAGGGCGCCGGGGGCGTCGGGAAGGGCGACGTGGGGAAGGGCGTCGTGGGCGTCGGGAAAGGCGCCAGGAAAAGGCGTCGTGGGCGTCGGGAACGGCGTCGGGGAGGGCGTCGTCGATGTCCATCGGCACGACCTCCTTGTCCATCGGCACGACCTCCTTGTGGCGAATATCCTGAGTCGACGTCGATGTCGTCAGCCTGGGTGTCGCCGTCATCAGCCTGGGAGTCGAAGTCGTCCTGCGAGCTCTGGGGCCCGGGCCTGACGTCGCACTCCAGGTCCGAGTCCGATACGATGATACCCCCAGGAGCTGGACTCGAGCACTCGCTGAGCGCGGACGCGGGCTCGGACGCCGCAGCGGCGCTGAGCACGGCCGCCATGCACCGCGCTCGGGGCACCGAGGCAGCGATCATGAGAGAGCCGAGCAAGAAGCCGTGCCACCAGGCCGCCAACACGTCTGGCGTCTCGGCAACAGACGGGCAATCCTCATCACTGTCCTCCTCATTCCCGTCAAGCCGATAATAATGGGCTGGGCCCGCTAAGGCTTCTTGCTCTCCGTGGCGGCCCGTCGCCGCGCCGCTCGCAGCCGGCGCGCCTCGCGGAGAGGGCTGGGCGACGGGGGCGTTCTGGAGCGCGTCCTCGGGCCAGGGTTCGGCGACCGGGGTGTGCGGGGGCGCCCCCTCCGCGGCGGGGTGCGCACGATGCGCGTGTCCGCCTCTGGCAGCTGGCAACTCCCGCGAAGCAGCCAAACGCTGCCAGCGCGGCAGCACCGTGATGGCCCCAGCGGGCGGCGCCACCGCCGCGGCTGGGATGGCCCCCTCGGGCGTTGCGGGCGCAGGCGAGCCCCGCCAGCTCGGGTTTTTCCTCCTCGGCGGTGTCCAGCGTTTTGGTGGGCGCGAGGGTATGGGAAGCGGCTCCCGCTCCCTTGCCACAGACCCCGTCGGGCTCCCGGCCGTTAGCTCCAGGGGCACCGGGGAGGGTGCCAGGCTGTCCGCCTCCAGCGCCGGGAGCGCCGAGGGCGCTGGCGCACTGGGGAGCAGCCGAAACTCGGGCGCCCTGCTCGGCCGCAGACGCAGTGGCCGCTGCGGTTGTTGCTGAGCTCGGGACGCGCCAGCCACCGCGGCTTCGATCGTCACCTGGAGCCACGCGCTGGCGCCGTTCATCTCCCGTGCCATGAGCGAGGCTGGGCGGCGTAAGCGGCAGAAAAAAAGGAATATAGGAATGGAAGCAGATAGTGGGGAGATAGCTCAGCCAGAACAGCTTGAGCAAGAACAGCTTGAGCCAAAATGGCTACGGGGTACCCTTGGGAAAATTGCCCATCCTTACTATGCGGGTTGACTGTACGGAAAAACTGGGTACAATGCCCAACAACAAATGTTGTCCAAAACCGACAGTGGCCGCTGTCGGGCAGGCGGCTTTCTGTCTTCATAGAACAACGTCCGCGGCGGCGCGGACAGGCAGTCCTGTTGAAAATGAAGAGGAACTGCTGTTGGGCATCATACCCATTCTTTCATGAGTATCGTTGAACCGAGCCCCATCCCCAGCAGCGTGGCCTGGGCCCACTGGCCGATTTAGCCCCCCAGATGGGGATGTAGGTCGTTCCCTTCGGGTTTCGAAGGGTATATCCCCAACCGGGGTGGTAATCTGGTGGGGGTCTCGAAGGGGATGGAGATGGGGATGGGGGTCGGTTGAACGATACTGATTTCAATACCCATTTCGATCGTCCCGATGATCGCCCCGTCCCGCCCAGTAGGGAAACGAACTCTATACACCGACGCTTTTTCCGACCCTGCGCCGAAATTCGCACAAGAACGCGGATCCTGGTGTATACGGGATCCTGGTGTATACATTCTTCGTTGTTTCCCCTGGGAAACGGGGAAACAAATATACACCACACCACCCCGACATCGCCCCCGACCATCAAAAAGTCTTGGGATTGAAGAACCGCCCGCCACTGGCAATGTATATGTCCCAGCTCCCGACGATGATCGCCCCGTCCCCCCCGGGGCTCCGCCCGCAGTCTTGCTGGCAGCGCGGGCGCGTGGCTGCGCTGGAGGCGCCCGCGGCCCGCCGCCCACACCAGCGGCAAGGCCTCGGGTTATGGATGCCATGACAATGGACACTCTGACAACCCGATCATTTAACAAGTGGCACGCGCGCCATGGCTCTTGCACAAAACGGAAGGGAAAGGAGGACGAGGAGGGGGAGGAGGAAGAGGAGGAGTAGGAGGAGGAAGAGGAGGAAGAAGAAGAGGAGAAGGAGGAGGAGGAGGAAAGGGGGGGAGAGAGGGGGCGAGACATCGGAGAAGTCTCGGGTGGCGGGACGGCGGGGGCGGTGCGACGCAGAAATAAAAGGGTCGGGGCGGAGGTGGGGCGGGGTGCTCTGGGCGGGCGGGGAGGGGAGAACGATCGTGGGGGCGGGACGGTGGGGGCCGTGCGACGCCGAAATAAAATGGTCGGGGCGGAGGCTGTCGCGCTGGTGGTTGTGGTGGTGGTTGGTGTGGGTGGGTGGGTGGAGGCGCGGGAGGGGCGGGGCGGTGGGGGCGGTGCGACGCCGAAATAAAGTGGTCGGGGCGGAGGGGGCCGGGATGCAGATGGCACGGGGCGGCTGGGGAGGGGGAAACGGTTGGAGTGGCTGGACGGGGGGGGGCGGTGCGCGCGGTGCGGCGCCGAAATTGAATGGTCGGGGCGGGAGGGCAGGCGCAGGTGGTGTGGGAGGGCATGGACGTTGGGAACGGTGTCGCGCTGTTGGTGGTGTGGTGGAGGTGGTGGTGGTTGGTTGTGGTGGTGGAGGTGGTGGTAGGTGGGGGGTGGTTGGTGGGGTGGTGGTTGGTGGTGGTGGTGGTGTTGTGGGTTGGTTGGTGGAGGGTGGTCGGCAGGATGAGCAGGTGGGGGTTGGTGGTGGTGGTGGTCGTGGTGTTGGTTGGTGGCGGGGGGTGGGGGTTGGGGGTGTGGTGTGGTGGTTCGGTGGTGGTGGTGGTGGTGGTGTGTGGTGGTGGTTAGTGGTGTTGGTGGTGGTGGTGGTGGGGGTGGTGGTGGTGGTGTTGGTTGTGGTGGTGCTGGTGGTGGTCGTGGTGCTGGTCGGTGGTGGGGTGGTGGTGGTGGTGGTGGTGGGTGTGGTGGTGGTGTGGTGGTGGGGTGGGGGTGGTGGGGGTGTTGGCGGTGGTGTTGGTGGTGTTGGTGGTGTTGGTGTTGGTGGTGGTGGTGGTGGTGGAGGTGGTGGTGGTGGTGGTGGTGTTGGTGGTGTTGGTGGTGGGGAGCTCCCACTGGGGCGCTGGGGGCGCGGGGAGGAAGGTGGGGGAGGTGGTGTGCGTTGCGACGCGGGATGAAGTGTTCGTGGCAGAGGGGGCAATGGGCGGGGCTCCCGCTGGGGCGCTGGGGACGCGGGGGGGCTCGGGGCAGAGGGCCGCGGAACGGGGGTAGGTTCCCACTGTGGGCGCTGGGGACGCGGGGAGGAGGGGGGGTGATGGTGTCGTGTGCGACGCGGATAAGCGTTCGTGGCCGAGGGGGCAAATGGGCGAGGGGTCCACTGGGGGCAGAGAGGGAGGGGGGGATCTGGCAGAGTGGCCGCGGGGCGGGGGTCACACTGTGGCGCTGGGGAGGTGCGGGATGTTCATTGTTATGTTGTTGCGAGCGGATTAAGGGCGTCGTTAGCGGAAGGGCATTGGGCGGGGGTTCCACTGGGCGAGGCCGCGGAGCGGGGGTCTCACTGTGGCGCTGGGGCCTCGGGGGGAGGGGCGGGCGGTGGGCGTGCGACGCGGAATGAAGCGATCGTGGCGGAGGGGGCAATGGGCGGGGCTCCCACTGGGGCGCTGGGGGCGCGGGGGGGCTGGGGCAGAGTGGTCCGCGGAACGGGGGTTGTCCACTGTGGGCTGGGGACGCTGAGGGGAGGAGGGGGGGAGATGGGTGTGCGACGCGGAATAAAGCGTTCGTGGCAGAGGGGGCAATGGGCGGGGCTCCCACTGGGGCGCAGGGGAGGCGGGGGGGCTCAGGGCAGAGGGCCGCGGAGCGGGGGTCACACTGTGGCGCTGGGAGGTGGGTGTGCGACGCGGAGTAAAGCGTTCGTGGCGGAGGAGGCAATGGGCGGGGCTCCCACTGGGGCGCAGGGGACGCGGGGGGCTGGGGACGCGGGGGGGCTCGGGGCAGAGGGCCGCGGAACGGGGGTCCCACTGTGGCGCTGGGGATGCGGGGGGGGGCGGGGGGAGGTGGGTGTGCGACGCGGAGTAAAGTGGTCGGAGCTCTAGACACCCTGTGCAAGATAATTAATTATGTGTTTAAAAAGTGCAAAGCATGTTCTCAAAATGCCTCAAACATGGTATACCTGTGTATATATAACATAATTAAAGCATGCTTGAAACATATGTTAGACATCTGGGAGTTATTTGGCAGCATGCTTCCTCTCAATAAATCGTCCTCCACAAGCCTCGGGTGGCGGCCCGGGGCAGCGAGGCGATCCACCGGGAGGCCCTCAAAAGGCCGCGAAGTGCCCAGGCCTTTCGCATCGTGAAGAGCATCGCGCCAGAAGATATTCGGCAATCTTCGGCCTCTGGGGACCCTGCCCAGAGGATGCCTCAGGGCGAAAAGATGTCAATTGCGCATGATCTGTCGTTATTTAGTGTGAGAGTTCCTCCTCTAACTTACAATTCTCTCTCTCTCTCTCTCTCTCTATATATCCATATATGTATACATATACATGTTCTTACACGTATACGCATAGTTGAATATACGCAAATGTATATTGTCGAACTATGGCTCCCTGGCTTGGCCGTGGCCGAGCCCCGGAGCCATGAAAAAACGGGTCGGGATGAACAACCCGTCCCGGGGAAGGGGGCTCGTGGCCTACGCGGTGTCTGGGTGCCTTCTGTGAGGCGTCGCAGGGGCCACGGTGCCGGCCCCAGCAAGCTACCAAACCCTGCCTCTCGAAGTCCTGAGGTATGCTCTCACACCCTCGCCGAGCCCCCCTGTCCATGACATGTTTGGCCTCCCCCAGCGTCATCTCTCGTCCCCCCGCGACATCCGATATCGTGGTCTGTTCGACCCAGCTTTTACTCAAGCTCGGCCTCCAGAGGCCTATCTGGTCCTGGAGATACTTGACAGCAAGAACAGCCTGCCTGGGATCAGACACCAACTGCGAGGCTGGGTGTCGAGGAAGACTGGGGGCCCTCCCTCAGATGGGAAGCACCGCGACCTCGGAGCCACCGAGCCCCCACTCGCCTCTACTGGGAGGTTGCAAGGCGGGGATGTATCCGTCACCACCGCCTTGGGATCGCTCCTCGGGGACCTCGGCAGGCGCTGGATATACAGCGCCTGCCGAGGCCTCCGAAGATCCATCCTCAAGGCAGTGACTCAAGGCGGTGACGAATAAATCCCCGCCTGTGACTGGACGAAGAGAGAATGGGCCAGACGCGGGAGGACGTGGCGACATTACCCGGAGGCTTACGCGGACTGCTGGTGACTGCACACCGCGCGTGAAGAATGGCGCTTGCGCGCGATCCTGCCCATGCCTTCTAGATGGGGTCCGAGTAGATGAGGTCGGAGGATCGAGCCGCATCGCCAATGCATCGGCGATGTATTGGCGATGCATCGCCGACATGGGCGATGCATCGGCAACGTCGGCGTGAAGTAAAACAGGGTCTCCGCATCGAGCCGCATCGGCGATGCGTCCGCGATGCGGCGCGATCATCCGACCCCATCTAATCCGACCCCATCTGGGAGGCCGAGAATGGACGGATCCCCGCCTCGGAGGAAGTGGCCAGCGCTGGCAGGCCCCCACCCACCCCCCGGGGCAGTCCAGGCTGGCCTTGGCAGGCCCCCCGTGGGGACAAGGCCACTGCACGCTCTTGGTGCGCCGCCCGTGGTGGGGCACCCAGGGCGCTTCGCGCCACGGGGCGCCGTGGCGGAGAGGTCGCCCCGGGCGACCCCGGGCGCCTGCCTCTCCGAGGGCTTCGGGGCTGCGCCGGTGCTGTGCCAGCACGTGGTGGAGAGGAGAGAGGAGCTCGGGGAGTGGGAAGACCGACGGAGGGAGGTGGGACAAAAATAGCGAGGAGGAGCAGACCAGCAATCTTCGGGCGACCTTGCAGGCATCTGGCGCCGTCTTCAAGCCACCTAAGGGCATCTTGGACTCCTCTACCTTCATTGTCTTCGTCGTCGCTGCCTACAGGGTCGGCGGCATCGGCCGTAAGGCCTTCGCAGTAGCGAAGAGGAGCAGACCAGCACTGCATAGACCCGAACTTTCGGAGGTCCGCACGGAATGTCCTGGATCCGTGCCGGGCCCCCGTCCCCGCCGCGCATGGGGGGCGCCGCCAGGGGGGCCGGGCGCAGGTTCAAGAGGTCC